ATCTTGGTAACCGCTGCACGAATTTCTTCCAAACTTGGCACAGTTATTGACCTAATTACAGCATATCGAATGGCCGAAAATTTTTCAAATCGGACAATAACCACGCCCACATCNATTTCTTCCAAACTTGGCACAGTTATTGACCTAATTACAGCATATCGAATGGCCGAAAATTTTTCAAATCGGACAATAACCACGCCCACATCCCCACATAATGGTAATTTGGAGAAATACGAAATCTTCGATAAATCAGTAAATATTAAAGTTAATTTATTCAAAATTAATGCTTGCAACAATTCTTTACTAAGAAATAGGTTTATGATAAAATTTTGGAAAATGGACATGGCCCCGCCCACTTATGATCACATATATATATCTCGGGAACCGTTCTACCAATTTGTACCAAACTCGGTATTTTTATTGTGCTTACCACATAAAAGCAAAACGGTGAAAAGTATTGAAATCGGACTAAAATTTCAGAAATGCTTGAAACTTCAATATTTCGAAATGTAAGGACGCTAATTTACTCAAAATTGATACTATTAGCGGTAGCTTTCGGAAAGGTTAAAATCATATATCTAATCCTTGCGTCGGGTATTTATTGTTCGGATCCGCTCGAACTAAGACTTTCTTACTTGTTATTTTATGGCCTACTAAAGTTTTCATGTCTCGGCCTAAGTAGTTTTCAAAAAAGTGGAAGAAATGGTTAAAATAAATTTCTGAATGAAGTTAAAGGTTAAGACATACTATATACTATAATATTTTCGTTTTTATTTTTCGGAAAATTATACTAGGGGTCTTCTCAGGCAAAAGCTGTATGCTGTAAAAGTTCCTAAAAAATTAAAATAAAAGATCAACAAAAAAATGTTTTTTTTCGAAAAAAATTTTTTTAAAGTTGAGTTTGGCTGTTATTCCTTCTTAGCATAGATTTTTTGTTTTAATTTTATAGAGGCATGAAATTTTTGCCTGAGAAGACCTCTAGTAAAATTGTCCGGAGAACAATGTTCTACGAAAATACTTCCCATAAAATTTTGACTAACTTTTGCAAATCCATCGAGTGTTTTACTACTGGACGGGTATACTTTCATAAAATGCTAACAAAGTCCGGGCTGGTTTCGTCTGTCGCACAGTGTTATTAAAGCCTCTTCTCAGTGCTTTCACCTTAATGTGAAGAAGCAGCTTTATTTGCTCGACTCTTGTTTGGTAAAATCTTGTATAGAAATATGTACATATATATGTATATAAACAGCTGTCTTATGAGAACAAAAAATTAAGTGCCGCTGGTACAAAATAATAAAAAAAATATTTTAACGAGTAAAAACGTATGTAAGTAGTTGAATACATGTTGGGTTAGGTTGTAAGGGTAAGCTATTGTCCTTTGTGATACCACGAAAAATGAATGGGGCCAATTAGTTTAGTCGGTGAAACGACGAGAGCTGATATTAAAATTGTGAGTGCGGCTAATCTCAACGCACGCGAGCTTCTCAGGTTCAGTCGGGTAGTGCGAGCCAAAATGTTTAAATCTTAGCCTCGCGAGGACAGTCTAATAGAATGTTAGAATTACATCTCATGATTCTCTTTACAGCTGATGAAAAAGGGATCTGGTAAGATTCCCAACCCAACCTGTCAGAATCCCCACCAATAGCGAGAGCTGAGGCTTTGTAAAGCATGCAGCTCATAAGAAGGATCTTGCTATTGCACATTTCCTAGTTTTACTCCAGCGCCCAACATGTCCAAGAGTTTATTTTACTTTGGCATTGGACTTTTGATTTATGAACGTGTTTCTAATTTTAATGCTATATGGGAAGAATTAAAAAGAATGGCACCTTTTTTGACACTTTTATTTTTCTATTTGGCACATTTTGGCAGTTTTTTATCCTGACAATGGCATTTTATTGCTAAGTATAGTTGGCAGCCCTTTAAGTAAGCCTGTTTCGGAAATACTCTGACGCGGTTGACAGAGAGGTCTGACATTCCCTTACCGATTTCGAGCCCACCACCATAGCGTTCAGCATCCAGATAGCCACCTAGCTATCACAGGCTCCCTTTCTGATATTACACTCTTCAGTAGTGAGTTTACCACTTGCACTACGAAAGTCCGAAAGCTTTTCTCTCACGTTCTAACTGAAAATTTAGGTGGCTCTACCTACATCAGGCGCTCGGGAAATAAAATTTTTACAATCCGTTGCTCATTACTGGCAAATCAAATTAAATAACTTTCAAATTTTCCTTATATATATATAAAATAGTACCCTGAAATGCCAGCTTAATAGGGTCGAGCCCCCCGACCCCGACGGTCAAGCGGCGCACGGTTGCATTTTAGTATAGAGTATGGCATTCAATAGAGTAAGCATTCTGGATCCCGGGATACCGGACACTTTTTCATGTACCGAAACCCCGAGATTATGAGATTTTTACTGATTTATTTACATAATCAGGCAAGTTCTACAGTCCGAGTGAAAGTGAATGTGAAAAGGAAAAAATTAATTCACTTGCTCTTGACATGAAATATGAGCAATACAGAATAACAAAATTTGGATTGAAAGTGAACATGAGTCGTTTGTAATCAGAAGTGAATTTCAGAACCTGCCTGAATAACTGAGAGCAGGGATTCATTGTAACGTTAATTTTAGCGTTCATCAAACAAAAGCAATCGTATAGAGAAATATTGCCAGAAACTCATTCGCTGTGTGAACAGCCAAAAAGTGTTTTCCGAAATTTTTCGTGCGATTCGCCTTTCGGAAACAAAAAACCTCTTAAGTGAAAGATCTGATATTTCTCATTTTTACAGCCTTTTTGGAATATATTCATTGCATTTCCACGTCTGACACGCTCTTAACACTTTAGAAACTGTGAAGTGTCCACTGAATTCAAATGAATGAAAGAACGTATTTTATTTAACTTTATTACTATGTATGTAATGTATGCACGTAATTTTACTGTTTATTTGACTCCCCTTTGAATGACATGTGTCAGTATCTCCAGCAAAGTGTCACGCAGTCCTACATTCGATACTTCGTTAATACGCAGCTCGAGCTTGTTGAAGGTTTCGTCTTCGTATTTGGCATAGATGCGTGGCATATTCAAATCTTCGTAGAGCTCTTGAACACGGGCAGTCTTCTGCGGATCTGAAATGGAAGAAATGTAATTACATATTTTAAACTAATTCAGCTATTACTTGTTGTCAAAATCTAAATTATGTTTAACCGAATTCAAAAAAAGAGGGAGGTTCGGGTCAATTCGTCGGAATATTTGTTTTATTTATTTTACAGCATAACTTTGGACCACGGTTACTGATTTCTATGATTTTTTTTTTTTTAAGGTGGTACCTACGAGGTGATCCCATTAGTATTTGGTTTAAATCCTATTATTGGATCATGAAGAAATTAACGGTACTCTTAAATTTTTAAATTGGAACTGAAGTCAGTTTTGTTTTTTGCTTAAAAATTACTTATTTTTTTGTTGAGTTCGTTTAAATAGTTGTTCTATTTTTATACCTACCATTTTTTCCATAGCATTCCTCCATGATAGCTCTCTGTGCGGGGTTAGCTATTTCCAAGCAAACCACCGCCAACCAGGAGCATTTGTTCGACTGTATGTCTGTGCCGATCTTGCCAGTAAAGTTCGGATTACCAAAAGAATCGAGGTAGTCATTTTGCGTTTGACAGAGGGTGGCCAAGTCGAAAGTAATGGCTTCACATTCTTCGTAGACCTTTTTATCCTTAACGCTATAGGGATAAAGATTAAAAAAAGCATATGCATACAAATCTACATACATATGTACATATGTATACTACGAGTATCTCAAATTCTTGCTCACCCCGCCAAACGTAAACCCAGCGCTACGGGCAAATAGAAAAAGTTGCTGGAACTTTTATTATACACAATCGTATTGAATGTGTCCATATTGAAGGTAAGGACATTATTTCTACTTATGATCATATCCAATGATTGGCCGCATATACATTTAAACGTGTTTTCATGAAATAGTTCGAGCAGTTCCACATAACAATCCAAGTGACGAAAATGATTCTTAAGAAATTCATAGATACCGTTTTCAATCATCAGCGAATCATTTATGGAATTCAGGCCTATTTCTTCTACCATATACCAACATGGCTTACCACGTCTCGTGGTGCTATTATCCACTATATCATCGGTAATAAAGAGTACACAATGCAGCTGAAAAATACAAGGAAATTTTAAAAAATATAAATGATTTACTTGTAAAATATTTATTAACAACTGCCTACCAATTCGACACAACAACCAAGTAAGTGCGCCAATCTAATTTTCTCCGGGCTCAATTCATCACCTTTGGCAAAATTTTTGTAAGTTAGAACTGTAATTAAACCATTTTTTGCATTGCTCAATGATAAATTGTACTCCAAAGCCTGTCAAGCAAAAACAATATACATATATCTGTGAAGTTTTATTCCATAGTTTTAAAAATTAGGCAGATGCTATTTACCTTTCTAAACCATTCTACAGCATCTTCGCATTTATACCTATCCGCTATTGAAGTAAGCTCATCCACAACATCTGTAAACGAGACAAGATAGTAGGAGGTTTTAAGGTATAATAGTTATTAATTATAATTGAAAGCCGATAAGTATGGACCTCATCGTCAGTGTTGCCAGGTCGTCGTCATGAGAAAACGTCCCTCTTGGTCTGAAAAAGCGTCATTTCCTACCCAAAAACGTCTTTTTCAAATGAATGTACAAAAAATTGTTCTTATTAAACTTTTATTGTGTACAAAGGTATATATGTACGTAAGGTATATTAAAATGTCAATTCGACAGAGCACATTTAAAATTCATTGTAAACTGGTTTGAGATCGTTAATACATATAAAAATAATTTTATACATACACTGATTAAGTCTGTTTCTCTTTCGTTTATTTAATGTATATTATTTTTCCATAAAAGCCAAGCTCTTTACCAAACAAAATATAAGTCCACAAAAACTGCAAAAATTATAAAAAATCAGCAAATTTTCAGCTAGATTTTCAACTTTTTATTCAGATTTTTTAGATTTTTTTTGAGTATGCAGTTTGATAGCCCATTAAATTTCAGAGCAATAATGTGCAAGTTTAAAGGGGCGTTGATTTTTAATGTTTTGTTTCTTGTAGACATATTTGGTTAGGGGGTTCGGTTGTCGAAATTGCTAGATTACGTTCTGCTAGGAAGAAGATAGCAATATTTCAGTCTGTTTTGCGTTCATTACATTTTCAAAGTAGTCGTAAAAAAGTCGCCTACTTTTTTCTGACGTTTTATGCTGCACAGCTATTTTGATACTTTTGCGACCGTGCGTGTTGCAATAGATCGGCTCTTTCTGATTGAGCTTTTAATGTGCAATTGCAAACATTACAGCAAGCCTCGTAACCTCAAGTGTTAACANAAAAGTCGCCTACTTTTTTCTGACGTTTTATGCTGCACAGCTATTTTGATACTTTTGCGACCGTGCGTGTTGCAATAGATCGGCTCTTTCTGATTGAGCTTTTAATGTGCAATTGCAAACATTACAGCAAGCCTCGTAACCTCAAGTGTTAACACAACCAGCCTTTGAACTCGGGATCCTTAGTCCAAGAATCAAAAAAAAAAATCTTTTGAAGCAGCTGCAGCAAAATGCAAAGATTGTAAAGATTTATTAAGAAAATAATTCAAAATCAGTTCTTCTTGCAAGATTTAGTAACAAAGAAAAATTACTGTGAAATTAAAAAACGTAATTTTTTACACAAAAAACGTACAAACGTCAACAGGATACAAAAAAACGTCCAAATGACGTTAAAAACGTCAACCTGGCAACGCTGCTCATCGTACCCCAAAAACGCAAACGGTCTATTGTATTTCTATCGCTTTACGCTGATCGCCCTTCCGACAGTTGTTTAACTAACATGACCGCTTCTACAGTGGATCTACTCTTTCTAAAACCGAAGTGCATATCCGAGAGTCCTCCACCTGCCTCGATTGCTGCAGCTAGTCTATTGCTCATTACACGTACTAGAAATTTTCAGGGCGTAACTAGCAATCAAGCGATATGCTGAAGGACAGCCTTGGGTAGGGGAAACGCTTTGTTTCCATATAAATAAGAAGGAACACATCATTGGCAAAGCATTCCTTGAATGCACTAACGAATACTCTTTCCTTCTGTAAAAGTTAGCTTCGACGGTAATAGGAAAGCTCCTTGACGGTTTGGTCTGCTTCTTCGGGACATGTTATATAAAACGCACTGAAGTTTCCAGCTTTTTTTTAACCACTTGTACGCTAATTCCAACTGGTCTTGGTCTACGCTATTGCATATGCTCTGGAAGTACTCTTGCTTGCTGTTCTTTATAGCTTGTTTCAGCTTCTTTCACGTACGCTTATAGAAGGAGTGTTGGTCTACATACGGCCCTCGTGATCTGTCTCTTTGGTAGCTTCGCCTCGCTCTGTTGCATTTCCGCCGTAGGTTTGCTATGCGATCGCTCCTCCGTGCTGCTGAAGGAATTGCTTATCATGGAAGCATCACAAACCTTTTTAATACCGGATGTTAAGTGGTTTGCCTTATTCGTAGCTCACACTTGTAAAACAATTACCGATGCCATCTACGTCGTCTATGGCTGTTCCATCACTTTTTGGGAAGCAGATCACCAAATAGAACTACTAGGCTCGAGTTCATCGTGAGCTTAGCCATACTTGTGTCCTCTTTGCCTGTACCACAGTGCAAACGCCGTTTAAGCGGCGATGGGATTCTAATCAGAGCATAGCTATTGGAATGTTTTTAGTGTCTGAGGGTCAAGAGCAAAGCAAGTCGGCCTAATAGCAAATTCATGAGGCCAATTAAAGAAATAGGCAAGTATATTTTTGACTACGCATTCACAAAAATAGGGCATGAGTCCGCTTCTTTCGCAATCCAAATTCCTAGTATAGAGAACCGAATTAAATGCTGGATACTTTTAAAGAACTATCAGTTGTTTTACTTTCTGTAGATCTTTAAGTTCTTCCTTTATAAATTTTGTCTGAAAATAACCTTAGTCAAATATTTTTCAAATGATTCTGTAGAATATCGAAATCCTCTAGCAACTCTCTAAATTACTTAATATTTTTTTAGACTTTAAACGTTAGATGAATTCAGCATTAACAGATGAGTCGCTATTTACTGGGTGCCAGTACACAAAGCAATTGCATGGAATGAGCGGGCTGATATGCTAGCCAAAATCGGGGTTAAATTACCACTGGGAAGTGCGCCAGATATATACCAATCCCTGAACTTACCCTCCATATTTTTGGGCCTACTGAATGAAGACTTCCGAAATAATATTTTACATACCTGGATAAACAGCCAAATGTTGGTTGATCTCGTCCTTTGACATTGTCAAACGCGGTTGGGATTGAACAGGCTGAATTTCTAATGTTGATTGTTTGCTAAATAAAAGTTGGTTAAATAAATAAAATAATTACAACGTATCCATTATCTTTGGCCTAACAACCAATTTTAATGACCCCAATTAATGTACGTATGTACATTAGACCGCACAAAAAAAAATGTTGGTCGATTGTATGGATCGCCTTTGTACATTTTTCGGCATTTACAGGCAGTTCTTAAAGTATGATGTATTCGTGTTTTTGAATCGAATATACTTTTTTTTAAGGTTATTGACCTCACCATAATGTCAGTAAATTACAGCTCTCCAAAAGCAAATGAACTTTTGTTAAGGAAGTTTTTTGATTATTCCAGTGCACAGTGGCCAATTTTTGGAAAACCCTGGCCAAAAGTCCAAAAAAAATTGGTGCATTCGTAAGACATAGATATTCACGGATTGATTTTTTTTTGTTTACTTATCATGATGGATCAGGAAAATAGTTACTAGAGTGGTCGAGATGGGCGGTCTAATTTTCTTTTTCATATATATTAAAGTTTTTCCCATCCATCTTGGTTAAAACCACCTGCCACAAGCCGCCACTGTAGTTTGAACATCAGTTTTTATACGCGATTCTTAATATTTTTTTATGTTTAAAAGATTTAAATTATGTAAAAAATTATTTCTGTCACGATTTTGATGCTTTAAAGATTGGATGTTTTTAGAATTTAAATGATGTCAGAAAGTACTACTATATTAGAGTGCTCATCCATGGGCCTCTCATTATTGTATGGGCACCCCTGCCAATTGGGTAACTATCCGAAGAAGCCCAAGACTCGGACCCTGTCATTGCAAGTTTACGTTTGAACCAACCAAAACAAAATCATAAACTGTCGTCAGATGCCATTAAATTATTATCAACTGATGTAAGTGCGGATGCGGAATTGCCATCAGAAAATATAGATATGAGCTTGGATACTTCAGATGACTGCGAGTCTGACGGTGTATAAAATTGTTATCTTAAAAATATATTCCTGTATGTCTTGTTTATTGATTCATTCAAAATACCGCAGTTTCCGTGTAAATTTGAACATCAAGATTTTTAGAAACGAACGTTAAGACCTCGTTAGTGTTCGTCCGAGCTTCTCTTCCGATTTGTGGCGTGCGCCTTGATGTTGGTGCACAAAGGGGAGGGACTAATAGTTTTACGCCGAATTCGAACGGGGATTTTATTTTTATGAGCAGCTGTTCTTCGTGGCTGAATACACTCGGGGGTTTGCCATTGCCTGCCAAACGGAAACTTTATTGCAAAAAACTTGTTTGTTTCTTATTTTTTGATGTTGGTCGGAAACTGGGCTTGAACCCAGGCCCTGCGGAATGATAGCGTATATTGCTAACCGCTACATCACATTATATAACAAAAAAGCAGAAAACATGACCTTTTATACTTAGCTACCTTAGTTTTGCTAAAAATCTGATTATTTTAAACGTACACATTATGGATCCGCCATTTTGAATTTCGAAATTATGTGGTGGAATTTAAAACCAGCCACCAAAAGAAGACGAATAGACAAGGTTTGATTACAATTGTACCATGCTTCGATTTTTGGCCAGCTTTTTCGAAAAATTGGCCACTGTGCAGTGGCTCAAATATCTTTGAACCTACTATTAGACCTATTTAAAAAAAAGGAAAAAAGTGACCTTTAGGTTCGAACAAAAAAAAAAATCCTTTTTCGAAGTCGTCTTGCAATATAGTTAAGACTTTTGGGGTATAGACTGGTATGCAGCTCTCAAGAAATCCGTCAAGAAAAATTTGCCATTATTTCGTGTGTGTGTCCAAGGAATTTTGACATTTTCGATACTTCACAGCCTGTTGCCTCACTCTTTCTTAAAGAAATAATGGAACGGGCATATATTTCTGTTGCAAACCTGGGTTGCCTTGTGCTCTTTTTTCACAAAAAACTTTAGAAAACCGTAGTAAAAAGCGTAGCAGATTTCTTAAGAACTGCGTACTGCCTGAAGGAAATTTGACTTAAGAAAATTTCTTAGCCATTTCTTGTACGTCATTTTATATGGAATTTTAGCTTTTCTTGAGAACTGCATACATGCCTTATACGTGAATTTCTTGTATTATCTTGTATGGTGGTACGATCTAATGTACATACATCTGATTATATATGTATGTGAGTATGCAGTAAATTTAGGGTGTTATTGGCACGTATTCACAGTCCAGCTACTAAGTCGAAACTAATAAATTTGCAACTTAAATTTAAGTACCAACTTAAAATTCACTTCTATTCATAGTCGCATTTCAGACTTCTACTAAGTAGTTTTAACTTAGTTTTACAATATAGCAAAAGGAGTTTGAAAATGTATCGATTTATCTTTACGATATTTTGAAAAAATACATTTTTATTAAATAACGGATGATCCGTTTGTGTAATTTTTACTTACATTGCATGCTCATGCAATTTCTTGTTAATTATGTAAAATAGCCAGAACAACCGCAGTGATTCGAAAGCATGCTGTAAAACCAAATTTGACAAGGGATGACGAAAAATCGTTCCACAATACATCATCCTCCTACCCTGTCGGAAACACAAACAACCAAAAAGAACTGTAAAACATACATATATCTAAATGATATGTACTAATTTACTTTAAAAGAACAAGCTTGAAATTTACTTAAGTATTATTTGAGAATTTAGCTTTACTAGAATTGTAATACGCATTTAATTTCATGTTCCGATTCAAATGGATCGCTCTTTGAAAAATTTTAATTGGAGATCACTCAATATTATCAAAATCACGATCAACCAACTTAATTTGTACATATTTCGTCTTTTTCCTCTTAATTTAATAAAATACTTATTAGGTATAGGTTACGACTTAATTGCAGCTGCAGCTCAAACTAAATTTAAATTGGTACTTAGCAAGATAAGTCGAAACTAAGGCGACTATGAATAGCTTTAGTAGTAACTTAGGATAGTTTGGACTTAGTTGTGACCTAGATATGACTATGAATACGCGCCATTGTTTTTTTTTTTGCTTTCAGCTAATCCTAACTTACCGTATTGTGCTCGCAAAGTTATGTTTACGCTCCGCATTAATGGTCGATTTTTCAGTCTCAAACGTCTGCGGGCGTTGCGAGATTTCCCGATGCGAAGGACTTATATTACTGCTGTTGATGCGGTACGCACTAGCAGACGCAATTATACTTGTATGCATTTTGGAAAACTTATGCAGCAGTGAAGCCATTTTTAATCTGAAAAATATATAATAACTAATGAATGTAAATCGTTACCTTAACTGCATAAATAAAGCAAAATCTGTGAAAAACGCAGTTTCGAAAAAAGTGTTGGTTAGGTCCTTTGTGCATTAAGATGACGATATGCATGTAGTTATGTATAAACAGACAGTAGACTGGGCCGGATATCAGATTAGGATATTTCAAAAACTGTAACTGGACATAGATTAGAGCTTCGCTCTAGGGCAGGGTTATTCGTCGAGGAGTTTAAAGGCATTTACTTTCTATTCCCTAGGGAGCTACGCTATTGCCTTTGAAACGAGAGTGTTTGGAATACTTACATCTATTGAGTGTATCAATTAGACAACATTTCAATAGGGTTTAAACTGTTGATGATTTTTATTTTTTTTTTAGATTGCCGCTTACACATATGTTAGTGTTTGGCCGAGCTTCTCCTACGATTTGTGGCGTGCGCATTGATGTTGTCACACGAAGCGGAGGGACCTACAGTTTTACGCCGACTCCGAACGGCGATTGTGTTTTTATGAGAAGCTGTTTTTCATGGCAGAAATGCACTCGGAGGTTTGCCATTGCCTGCTGAGGGACGACCGCTGTTAAGAAAAAACCTTTTTTCTATATTTTATTGCGATGTTGCTTTGACCAGGGCTTGAACCCAGGTCCTGCGGAGTGGAAGCGCGCACTGCTTACCACTGCACTACAGCGGCCGACGATGATTAGAGCCCGTAAAAACTTCCCCGTACGTCCTTTAACTACGAGTTATTGAAAGTCAAGGAACTCGAATTATTTAAATATCGATTTATAATACGACTCTGTTTACAACCCGGCTACATTTTTTCGGTTTGTTCACAAAAATAATCAAACTTGCGATGCGTCGTAATTGTGTTTAATGACTGAAATTTAAGCTGCTGACAATGAGCTGAATGCCATTTTACAACGCTTATTTCTAATTAAAAATTTTCTATTCGTAAACAGAAAAGTTTCAACTGTGCCTTTTCCTAGTAAGTTTTGTCTAGTAAATTTTTTTGAGCAGGATTTGCTGTCCGATCCTGTGCTAAAGGCACTGAAAGGTGCTGCTAGACAAAACTAAAAATCTGCTATACTATATATTTATTGGAAAGGAGTTAAATTCGTCACCGATTTCCAAGGTAAACGCTTCCATTCCCCATTCTGAAACGGTTTTCTAGTTTTCTGTGCTTTTATAAACATTCCGTTCAGCCAAAAATGTCCTAAGCGAACTTAAAAATTATCAAAGCTGGTCTCCGCAAAGGCTGCGCCGCGAATAAACTGTCGCGTCACCTCACCGGTGGGGGCAAGCCTCCACCCGATATTGACCAATAGCTAAGCGGCAATAAGCAAGAGTTACGTGCTGCGATTGAGCTAACTATCGAAGGTCTCGCACTAAATTTCGATGATGACGACGAAGGCCAGTTCGCCCCTTCAGACTCTATGCACAGCAATGGCACAACGAAGCTTTTTCTCGATAACATCCAAATGACAGAACCTTGGCCAAATGCCGAAAACATGATAAGTCCCGGTTTAACGCGCTTAAACCGCAAATTTTAACGATTTAAAAAATATGAGACTAAAACTTCGTCGCGTCGTAAACGGCGACCCAAAAATATTAAGTCGATGTGAACAAACACAATTTTGAGTTAAATCACAATTCAGCGAATTTAAATCGCCTTGTAAATTTAAGCTTCGAAATTTTAAGAAAAAAGCACTTGCTTATTTTTTATTCATAAGGCTTATTATCTTTCGTTACCGTTTCGTTTTTGGTGTTTATGTTTGAAATATTAACAATTACTTTTTTGTTTGAAGAATGAATGCACAAGTCAAATGCCCAAAAGGCAAAATACAACTGTGCTGAGAACTCGACGTTTAGCTGTCTTAAAAAACATTCCAATTGAAGCTTGCTAATTTAATGCATTCGCACAACAAGCAAAGGCGAACAGAAGCTTTCATTTAGTATTTGAAATCTACAGCAGTACTTTTTTTTGCAATTTTTTTATATATATAAATATTAATATATTTTACCATAATGATCCGAGATAATAAAAACAAACCAGTTTCCTTGATCCTCATAAACTTCTACGCATGCTCGTACACACTCAGTCCTATACTCGTAATTATTAGTAGATATGTGTGTATGTATGTAAGTGCGTGCATTAAAAATCGAATTCGAATGTGACAAGTGATACCCAGCAAGCATTTGGGGAATTGTTTGGCGAAGGCATTGGCGACTCGCATAGAAGAATGTTTGAGAATAACAATTTTTCCAGGCTTTGATACCAAACTATAATTTTCCAAAGGTTTTGGGACCGTTTAATTTTAATATGACATAAGTTTTGTTCCATCGGCTTAGATTCTCGAGGTTTTCTAAGCAGACAAAATTTTTTGCTCAGAAAAGTCGATGATATATTTGAATATATTCTGTTATCTCTTTTCCTGTACCTGAGATATTACTCTTTGAAGTTTTTGGGTTCAGCGATATATTTTTCGCTAAACTAAACCTTAAAAATTTATAGTATAAATGTATACTTCATTTAAAAATAGTATAAAACTCCTTTCTAACGCGAAATGTGCTGCTACTTTTTTCACCAGGTGAGTCAAATACGACTTTTAAAAGCAGCCTTCCTAAATTACTTGCACGCTGAGCCTGGAGTTTGAGTCAATAATTTTTTTAAATGCTGGCTGGGTACGGCTACTGCAAATGAAGCGCATATTCTGACACAAGAGCAAAATTCTACATCTAATTGCAAGTCAGATAACCCTATTTAACGAGATAAAACATGTTTTTAAGTATTTTCTGATGCAGCTTTGTAAATATAATAAAATAAAATTTTAAGTCGAAGTCCCAGCTAGTACCTACAAGTAAACTCCGTGCTACAAAAACCAAAAAATTTCAAAATATGGCTACCTAATAAAAGAGAACTGAATACTAAAAATATTTTGGTGCAAAAGGACGAATAGGTATTGAACATGCTCTTTTAATAATTTTTTTTTTATATTAAGCTGGTAAAGTTAAATGGACCAAATTTGAGGATGCGGTAGTGTACGTATAAATGCTTAACATATATTTTTTTCCAAAAATAACTATTGAAAATTTTCATTCAATATTCAAGGCCAAAGTTTTAAAAGGACATTTTCAATACGTGTGCGTCCTTGTGCACCAATAAATTTAATTGTTTTTAATTTAGAAGAATTTTCTCTTTTATTTGGTACCCTTATTGTTATTCAATATTACGCTGATTTTTATTTTTTAATTTACCATATCTTTAAAATTTCAGAGTCCTTTTGAAAAACTCTGTTGTCGAGAAACTGGTTTTGTTGTGTGTAAAATGCACTTCGCGGGAAACTTGAAAAAGTGATAAAACAAAGTTTTTGAAAAATTTGCCCGTTTGAAAGTTCGCTTCAGTTCAGTCAATCATGTTTTTAAATAACATGAATCCTCACTTATGAATTAGCTTTCAGAAGAAACGTAATAAACATTGAATGGTGCAGTAAATTTTGGCTGTCGCTTTTAAAATAAGTAATGGTGTAGCTCATTTTTATAGCAAACAATTTGTGTTGTTTATAGTCGACGGATGAAATTGGAATTTTCACCACTTTTGTTTCACGGTCGGCGTCATTAAATACATGTACATATACATACATTCATATTGAGCCATAACCGCCAAAAAAAACGAAACGATTTTTTTTTCAAATTTAATTTTCTATCATACCTGCATCACGACAAAAATTATGAAAAAAAAAATCGTTTACTTTTTTTTTAATTTAGGGTTCGATATGTACATATGTAAATTGGTGATGGGCACCAACTTGCACGTGGGAAAAGCTCTTTTAAAATTTCTATACATTTTTATAGGCGAGTGCAGAGTAAAAGCTCTCTTTGCCCATCGCGCCGATTACAACTTGTTAATTTTTTTGGTTCAAATTTAAAAAATAATAATAATTATTATGGTTGTCGACGTCGATGAAATTTTTTCGTCAAAAATTAGCCCTCGCAAGTCCAACGACAGCTACGCTGACCACAGTATTTTCGCGGAAAGGTGTTCCTCGCAACACTACTTGTGGTCAGCGTGCCAAGAATGTCCATGTTCAAATCTTATTAGGCGGATTATTTAATTTAAAATTTTTAATTTCAGTTTTTCTTAATTATGAAAAAGCATCTGCGAAGTGCACAACGAAAGCGTAATAAAACGATTGACTTTAAAGTGCTCTAAGAAAAATGCATTTTAAAGTAGTTGAAATCATATGCAGAGTCGGATAATTGACTGATGCCTAGGACATCGCCATGTTAAATTCCACAGTTCGTTTCAAGGAAGAAAGTCAGATCTTCAACTAGCTGTAGGGGGTAAGAAACTGGTTGAACATCGATATTTAAACTAGTTACTGGTAGGGTAGGAACTCCGAGCAAGCGCTATCACCCATCTTGTGTCCCGCTCTTCCTGCATTGGTCCACGTTCCATTCTTTTCGTATCCGTTGATAGATACTGAACTTATTTTGCCATTGTGGAGGGTGGTTTCTAAGACAATAGTCGGTTTCTTTAAGCAACTCTGTTAGCGTGGTCAAAATAGTTCTAAAGCAGGGATCAAATGATGCACGGTGCCACCTAAGTGGGCAAAGATCGAAAAATTCGCTGTCTGCAATGTGAACGTGTTTGGTATTTTTTTAAAGATAATTTATCCACTAAAAAGAATTTAACGAAAATTTCTGTATAAAATATTTTATATGCCGCCAGGAACCCACTAAACTCAACAAATTTTATGTAAGAATATTAATAACAGCATAGCCATGCGTAAGCTCTTCACGGCTATAAAATAAAATGTTGGTTTGACGTTTTGTATTTCCAAATAGATAGTAGAGAGCTACAGGTTTAAAAATTTTGGAGTAAAATTAAACACAGAGTGTCCCTGCGGTATTATAGATAAACCAGTTTCTTTTTATTATTTTATTAAATAGTACGGGTTTTTGGGTTTCGAAAAAAGAAATAAAAACCTGATCATTTTTTACACTTTTTGAAGTAATGCGTTTTTTGCTAAGGCATAAAATCATTTTTAATTTTTCTGTCAGTGTCATCAGATCTGCACGATTCGTTCTATTTTCAAAAATGAATTGTCAGATTAAATAGTTTGACCTGTAGACAATAGAGGTTAATTTTTTTTTTTAAAGAGCTCTCACCTGTTAAAAAATTTAATTAAATTTTTTTAATAAGTTAAATGAATTATTAAGAGATGGGTATCAATCGAAATGTGTATGAAAAGGGTTTATTTCCCAACTACATGTTGAGGGATGCCACCTGTTAAAAAATCAAATTACATTAGAATTAAGGGAATTAGGTTATATAAATAGTTAAACTAAAATAATAATTGTGTCAAACCAAAGGTTTACGACATCGTAATATAGTGTTGATCAGTAATTTGTTCTGATTACATTCATTTTAAATTTCTGGGCTCTTACATTAACTCAGGAATGCTTTTACTCTTCACTTATTTCTTGCTTAAGTGCCAATTTTTTCTTTTGTGTGATACTCATATTTATATACATATTTCAGTTACCTTATTCCTTTAGTTAAACTGAATTTGATTTTTTAAACATGTGACAACCCTTTTACGTGTCGTTTAAAAGTAAAGCATTTTCAAAACCATTTCAATTGATACCCTTCTAATTTATTTAACTTATTAAATAACTTTAGTAAAATTTTTAACAGGTGGTAACCCGTTTCAAAAAATAAAACTTTAATGCACATCTACAGGCCAAGCCTTGTCATTTGACACCTCAGTTTTGAAAATAGAACGAACTATATTTGCATACCTATGTAAATGCCACAAGAACCCACATTTTCAACTTCAAGCTGCATTTGTCAGTGAAAGTTATCCAAAAATAAATTGCATTTTTGAATTTAGCGTCCTTAACTTTACTAAGAAGCGAATTTTCATTTAAATCCGTCCATAATTCTATTTTTGCCCACGTTTCATATGAATGCGATTGCTCGTTTGTACAGATTTGATCATTCCCAGCCAGCAAAATCATCGTAAACGAACTCGAAACTGGATATTTTCTCGAAGAAAAGCCGGCTAAAAAGTCGTTTATGATTGCCGTTTACGATTCGTTTTCGAGTACTTTTTCGCTTGAAATTGTCGATCGCCTACGAACAGTCGTAAACGGATCGAAAAAGCATTCGTATGCGAATATTATATATTATAAAATATTGTGGTGCAAGAAAAATTTCCAACAGAATCAAAATTTTTTCTTGTGCTGACAAATTACTAAGAGCCTCTTTCTTTTATCTCGTCTTTATTTTATCGTTTACGAGCCTTTCTCTAACTTTTCGCCGATCGATAATCCCTCGTGAATCATAATGTTCGTAAAATGTACGTTTTCTTGCTGGCTGGGTTTCCACAGTTACAGAGAGGTGTTACTTAAAAAGTTGTTATTGAGCTGAACTCATTCTCGGCAAAATTTTCTAGACAACACCACTCTGTGGCTGCCAAATGTGCAAATTTACCAATCGTGTGATCCCTGCTTAAGAACGATGCGAGAATGCGATTATCTTTTGACAACATCGATTCTCAAGGCATTGTATCATGCCACCTTTTCTGAGTAGAGATCCGAGGGAAAAGACTTACAGCCAATTTCACGAAAGCAATTTAAGTAAAAAATAATGAATAAGAAAGTATTTTTTTTTTTTTATTACCCACCAAACAATTTTGTTTGCAGGAAATAAGAAAACGTGCCGCCCTCGGAAATACATTTACTGCCGGTAATATCGCCATCATATCGATTTCTTATTACCAGTCGTTCTAAAACATGAAAGAAATGATGTTGCCGATTTTCACTACGGCAATAAATCGGTGAGTCG